TACGTGGATGATGCTATTATTTTTGCTAATGCTACCAAATCTTCTTTGAAGGCCCTTATGCAGGTTATGGAGAAGTTTCAAGACTCTTCTAGATTATGTTTCAATAAAGAAAATGTCCATTAAACTTTACAAAGCATGTTAAACGTACAATTGTTACTTGGGTAACCTCTTTTACTAGTTATCATGTTGCCTCCCCCCTTCAAATATTTGGGTGTAAATTTGCTTTGACGTCGTTCAGTTAGTAGATGTGGTTGATAAAATCAACCATAAGATTAATGACTGGAGGAACTCTTTTCTCTATAACGGTGGGAGGCTTACCTTACTTAGAAGTATTTTGATGAGTATTCCTCTTTATGCTTTACAGGTTTTAAACCTTAAAAAGAGTACCCAAAACAACTTAGAGAAAATAATTAACTGCTTTATCTGGTCGGGCATTAATATCAAAAAGCATTGGGCCACCTTTGATAAAATTTCTAAACCTCTTAATCCGGGGGGTCTGGGAATTAAGAATATGAAGCAAATCTCTGACATAAATATGTGCAAGCTTTGGTTCAAATTCCGTGCCAATACCTCCTTATGGGCTCTTTTCATGCATCATAAATATGTGCTAGCACTCATCCGACTATGGTTAATTGGAAGGTGGGAGACTCTAAAATTTGAAAAGCCATCGCTAATGCCCGCTCAGCTGCTGCTAAATTTATTTTTTGGGATATTGGAGATGGTAATATTTCTTTCTAGCACGATCAATGGGGTCAAGGAGATTCCATTTTCTCTTCTCAAAGACTTAACAATAACTTGATTCTCTCGGATTGTTGGTCTGATGGTCATTGGGATGTTGATAAATTAAAATACATCATCGGTGATAATTACATTAAAGTTTCAAAAATTCCTATTAGTAGGAGATTGAAAGACACACCCATTTAGAAAAAATTTACTGCTACTTCTCCTACTAATTTTTTATACTCTAGCATCTATAACTTTAGCACTTGGCAATGGGGCAAGCATATTTGTAATGTTATTTTTACCCCTTCTATCTCTTTCTTTCTTTGGAATTTTTTACTTAAATTGCTTCCTCTCGATGATATTCTTAACTTAAAGGGCTTAAGTTTGTTTCTCAGTGTTATATTTGTAAGAAAGATGATGAGTCTGAGAGGCACCTTTTCTTTCAATGTGCTTATGCTAGGGAGGTTTGGTCATTATTAGGAGAACATTTTCTTTTAAATTGACCGCATAGCTATTATATGATTGATTATATACATACATGGAAAGCTGGGACCTTGGTTGATAAAAAACTCATTTGCTTTCCTTTGGTGGTCATTTGGTTTATTTGGATGGCTAGAAATAGTTTTAAATACCTGCATTCAGAATTGTCACCTACTAATACTGTTTATTATATCCTAGCTTATTACTATCACCTGAATCAAATCTTTGTTTTTGATAATTCTTTCTCTCAACTTTGGGTGAGTAGGATGGCCAATTTCATTAAGTGGCAACCACCCCCAGGTTGGATCAAGATTAATATTGATGGAAGTTGGATTTCCATGGCTGCGGGTGCAGGTGGAGTTTTCAAAAATCACTTGGGTCATTGTCTATGCTTTTTTGCCTCCCCTATTAATGCTTTATTTGCTTTAGAAGCCGAAAGCTGGGCTTTTCTTCTATCTATGCTGGTTGCTATCTCTTGTGATTTCACTATTATCATTATTGAGATTGACTCTTTATCGCTTTTTAAGAATTTCGGTTCTTTGGCTTTACCCAACTGGAATGTTCTTTACACTTAGAATAGAATTAAGGAGATTATTGAAAAATTTAATTTTAATGTCCACAAGTCTTTTATTTTTTGGGAGGGGAATTCCCCGGCCGATTGGCTTGCTAAGCTGGCTAAGGGTATTACTAATCCTTTGGTGGGTGTCACTCTTATGCATCATTTAAAGTGTCATTTATTGAGCTACTCTCTTGATTCACCTTACATTAGAGCTTGATTTATTCTATGTATCGCATGATCTGCTGGGGTTGCATTTTTTGTTTGTTCCTTATTTTCTGATTTTCGATTATGCAAGGTATTTCGATACCTGCATCTATGCAGACTTTTGGTTATGCATAAAAGCTTGGGGTTTTTTATTTATTGCAGTGGTTTGGTTGAATATATACTTTATTTGTTGTTGTGCACGTAATTTGATTTACTATTCATATACCTTCCTTTATTGCGGCAGTGAGGAAGTACTAGACTATCATTGGTTGGATCTTTCAATTTATTGCTGTTATGGTAAATTTTTCCTTTTAGCTTTTAAAAGAAGCTACTCCTTTTCATGTTTTAATTAGAAGGTGCTCCACCTTATGTCTTACTTTGGTTCACTTTGGATGTTCTCTATCAGGATAACTATATTATTTGTTCTGGCATTTGGGCTTCTTGGACTAACTGTTTCTGTAGGATATTGTAAAGAACTTTCGATTTCTCTTTTTTAATTTGGTGGCTTTTGTGTGGGGAGTTTTCTGGTTGCATCTCACCCCAAAGCTTTGACCTTTCATCCACTGTTATAAGTTTGGCACAAGATTGGATGGTCGGAGCCGCGCAATGGGTTGTTTCACTTGGATCTTCTGTTTATTGTTTTGGGCTCGTTTTAATATTTTGCTTTGTGTTTCCTTCTTTTTTGTGTAGCGTTGTACTTTGGATTTGGAACCCATAGGTTTTTAATGTTTGTTTTTTGGTTTTTTAGCTGGGGATCCTCTATCCACAATCCATTTTGTAACCTTTTTAAGTATTAACGCGTAAGGAGCCATGAGTTGCTCTTCTATTAAAAAAATGTATTAGGAAGGAGCATTATATGGTTCCATACATGTTAATAAAAAAGACGGGTACATAGTATGGATTGGAACCAAAGTGGGGTTCCTCAACAAAATATATGTATTCAAAAAATAAAAGGACCAAAAGGTTGAATACCCAAATACATGTATACCCATAATGAAAGAAAAAATGAGAAGAGCCGAGCCAAAAAAATCTTCCAAGATATGATCTAGTAGCCTCAAAATAGCACCCAAAACCAACACCTACCAAAGTCTTGAAGCACCTGCATAAGAGGGGCAAAATCCATAGCAGAAAAGAAGCCCAAATAAGTAAAAAAATGATGGTTGCGGTAAGGTAGCAGAAAAGGCTCCTTGTAACCTCTAGCAAGGCAGGCTTCATAAAATGAGAAATTACTAATCCCATGCCTAAACCATCCAAAAAAATAAGAAAGTGATAAACCATATGAGGCGCAACCTCTAACCATATACATTGAGCAAAGTGATAAAATGCATAATATAAGTTTTTGAAACTCAATCTGAAACCATTTAGAATCAAAGCCACTTGAAGCTAAACCTTAGAGTTCTCAATAATCCAATATATTTGTGAGGCCATAAGACATAGAAAAGCAGGAAGATCTTTGTTAAACGTACATGGCATAATCCATCCAATGATCAGCAAAAATTGAAGTCGTTCAACCAAACAAAAAAAAACCGTAAAAAATTAAGGTGGAAAGGATTGTAATGCAAGCCAAAGAAGGTAACATATCAAGCAACTAAATTCTTGATTGTAATGCAAGCCAAAGAAGGTAACATATCAAGAAACTAAATTCTGATAAAAGAGAGCTCAAGTAAATCACCCATAATGAAAGGATTATGTTGTGGTATGAGAATAATCCCATATAGCACCTCAGAGGCTTCCCTACCCTTTCGAGCAAGCCAATTCACCGGGCAATTGCCTTCCTTATAAATGAAGAAAATTTTTATATTTAAATTGTATCTTGGAATAACAAACAAATTTGGTCCATAGTGACAAGGAAATCCCATCTAAGCTTAGAGGCTATAGAGAACTCATCAATAAGCATTTGAGAGTCCATTTCAAAGATAATTTTAGAAATTTTAAGCTGTGCAGTAACCTGAAAGGCCAAAAAGAAGGCTCAAATTTTAGCCTCCAAATGAGTGGAAGCAAGGATAGGAGAAGTAAAGAAAAACAAACACTGCCCGACATGATTTCTTAATAGGCTCTATGCGCCCGCATCGCTAGAACTCCAACTAGTATAAAAATTAAACTTGGCCCAATCTAAATGTTGGGGTTGCTATCTAAAGAAAATGGCTTGTTTTTTTGAACAATATTTTTAATGAAGGAAATTAGCCCATAAAGAATTATTAGCTCAAAATTTGAACCACAACTTGCTCATATTAATATCATAGATTTGATTAAGGTTTTTAATCCCTAAACAACCAGCAGTCTTAGGCATACAAACATTATTTAAAGTAGTCCAATGCTTCCTAGAATGACTCCCTGATCAGAGAAAACGATTAAACAATCTCTCTAATGTAAGCTGGGTACATTTCTTGAGATTAAGAACTTGCATAGCATACATAGGAATACTGATTAGAACACCTCTGAGTAAGGTGAGGAGGCCATCATTTGAGAGGAAGATATTCCTCCAATCTCCAATTTTGGATTTGGGTTTTTCAACTACCTCTACTAATTGAGCTTGTTTCCGACGTCCCCTTAGGAGATTAACTCAAAGATATTTGAGTGGAAGTGTTACAAACTGACATCCAATGAAGGAAATGCCCCAAGTAGTAATCGAGCTCTTTACAATCTTACCAAAAAAAGATTGCACTTATCTGTGTGTGTTGAAAGTTAAGCCAGAAGTTTGTTGAAATTCCTCAAGAACTCGCATGAGCAATTTAATGGTATTTTTACTTGCATTAGAGAAAAAAATAACATCATCTGCATATGCAAGATGACTAACCATGACCTTGAACTTATGATTGAATTTATTGGGTATCTTATTATGCTGCAAGTCATTGACTAAACTGGAGAAATTGTCAAAAGAAATTATAAAAAAGGTAAGGGACTCTATATGCAAGAGAAAAACCATAAGAAGCACCATTAACCAACACACTGTAATGATTATTATGAAGCCATCTTTAGATTAAATATATGAATTTGTGATTAAAATCATGAGCATGAAGAATGCTAATTATGAAATCCCAACTGAGAGTATCAAAAGCCTTTTTGATGTCTATGTTTACTTCACTTTTGGTTGAGGTCTAGTTTTTCCTCTTTAGTATCCTAGGGTCTAGCCATTGGACTTTTTAGTTGAATATTCCTAGAAAACTTGAAAAGGAACCCTAACCATTAGAAATTCCAAACTTATCTTTACTCAACTTGAAGTTCCACATAGTGGTCCTAACCTCTAGCACTTAATAGGTGGGGTCATTATGGGGGAGCCCAAGGAGAGTTCCCATGGGACTGCTTGACCTTATGGTTGACCCTGTTGTTGGTCTGAAGCTAAGGTACTCACCCCACTCACAATCACTCAGAAATACAAACCCAAAATTTCATGACTCTTGCTGACTTTGGTCCCTTGAGCCTTTCGGAAACTCATGTAGATGGTCCCCTAAACCCACTGGTCCTAGGCTAGGGTTTAGCTAAGATCGGTACATAGAGGATCCAAATGGGGTTTCTATTGGTCCATAGCTCATTTATGATGGTTAGCTCCCCAATTCTACCAAAAATACTCAACTTAGCCTTTTTCCCCTAAACTCCCCCAAATTACCTAAGTACCCTTGAAACCCTAAGTTTGGCCAAAATTCTCAAATTTACCCAAAATACCTAAATTTTTTCAAAAATCGATTCAAATATTTTGAAAACATCCAAATTACCCAAAATCACCAAAAATTACCAAATTACTAAAATTTAAAAAATTCCAAAAAATCCCAAAATGTCTAAAACCTTCCAAATATTCCCAATTTTATTTTCCTCAACTACCACATGACCCAATTTGAACAATTTGATCATTTACCACATGACCCAATTTGACCAATTTGATCATTTTTGACCAAAACCCCCAAATTGACCCAATTTCCCCAAATTCACTTCAAATGTCAATCAATTTGGTTCCAATCTCCCCCAATTTCAATCCTTAATTTAAATTCACCTTCCATATGACTAATCTAAACCAAATCCAAGCTTAATTGGCCCATGCTTTGAGCCTAATTTTGATCTCAGTCAAACCCCCAATTTTGGCCACATAAACTTGTAGCCTGCTCAATTTGCCACAATCTATGTTGAAAAATCTTCATAACACTTATACACATCAAACTTAAACTTAAATTGGCCTTAATGAAGCCTCAATTTTATTTAATTTTGACCTAAATCCAAAAAGCCCCAATTTTTCCCTAAATTGGCCATGTCTCTAAATTCCACCAAATTCATTGTCTTAGCACAAATTTTCCACTCCATTCTTTCATAAAAAATCTTCATAACATCTCCCTTGATCATTTGGACTGTTCAATTGAGCCAAATTCCAAGGCTAGCTCAACCTAAGCCCAAGTCTAGTCCAACATGCCCAAATTGACCAAAATCTCAAAATCCTTCAAATTGAGCTTCCAATTGAAAGCAAAATTACTTCAATCCTTCACCAAAAATTGTCATTACAATCATCTACACAATGATGATCAACCAATTAGGCTCAAGGTCATGGCATGCTTACCCTGAACCCAACTTTAACCAAATTGACCTACGTGGACCCCTTCACCGAAAGTTGACCCAATCTAGCCAAATTGGCCAACCAAAAACCACCACAGCCAAAGTTTAAACCTTATTGACCAGGCTAAACCCCATGAAACCACCCAAATGAGCCATGGACCAAAGGATCCTCAAATCAAGGGACTTACTTCCAAAATTGCTTAAGCGTAAGGGATATGTGCCAAAACTAAACACCTGCCCAAATAAATTTTTGTGGCAGATTCCTCTGGCTCACCTGACCTCCCAGCTGCCTCCCTTAGCCTTGTCGGCCAGCCTAGTCACTGGAGGAGCCAAAACCTTGAGCGACCCTAAAAAAATCTAAACTCAATTCAAACCTAGAGGCCACCTCATCCCATTTTAAATTTAGAGCTTCTCTAGCCTCCACATAGGCAACACTTTGCACCCATACATTGGCCCACAGAGCCACCCTAAGCCATTTTAATAAAACCTCCACCTCCATGGCCATGGGAGGTGTGCTGAAAATTTTTTAAGGATACCCGCTGAAATCACTCCCTGAGCTTTCTTGAGACCTCGACAGTGCAACCTAACCACTCCATTGCCCTAATTCCCCTTACCGCAGTTCATTTTTTGAGCTCAAATCCTTGCCGGAGATAGAACATTCTCCGCCACACCTCCACACTGTACCAAATAAGAACATGTTTAGATGATTGAAAAATAATGAGATTAAAAGGTAGGAACTCACTTACCACCTTTTCTATAATAAGAACAAAATTAAGATTTCCTTAATTATCATGGCTTGGAAATGTATCAAAATTAAATGATTCTCAAATGATTGGTTCGAGTTAAGAAGATAATATTTCATTATTTTAAGCCCATAATTGATGAAAATGTGATCTTTCAATAAGAATGCTTGTCACTTAAATCAAAATTTTGTTAAGTTACCATTTCACCTACTGTGATTGTTCAGGGTTTGT